TATATTCATTACATTCACGACAGTGTGCTTATAAATTGCTTCTTAATTGAAAAGGAAAATTTACATTAAAAAGCAAAAGGTGAATCTGTGCTTCGTCAAATAAAAGTTGGCTTCGGTCGAGTCAAAAACGAAGAAACAAAAAAAGAACGTATATACCTTTAATTTCGCGTGAACTTTGTGCCATTGACATTGTCTATGAAAAGGTAAATATTTTAATGTTTATAATATGATATTGTGGTTTAATTTGATACCGGTAGCTATATTCCCGTTTATAGCATTCTATTTCTTGAAGTTTCATTTTAGTTCACAAAGCTTGACACAGGAGTGGGCTTTTTTAAATAGAATTTGATAAACTTTGGGCTAGTTCATGTAGTTCTATTTTGACGATGAAATATTTTCTTTGCTCATCAAATGTCTGATTTATTCCTCGCTCTTCACTGATCCCAATTTCCGTTCTGTATATATCACACACGAATTGAATGAAGCAGCACCAGTATGTTACATTATATACTGCATATTGTGGCATTGGATAATGAAAATAGTGCCGTAAAGCGCGACATTATTTACTGTAATTTAAAAATATACATATTTGCATATTCGACCCAATTAATTTAACTTAGACATGACCAGCACAGACTGGATGCTGGGTATATTTTATTAATATATGAAAAGTTGATTGTCTAGATTAAGACAATTGTACAAAGACTTTTAAAACACAGTCAGTCATGCAACAAGTGTCAAAGAAAAGTAAAGGTCCCGACACGAAACAGCTTTTTATTGACACGACAAACTTTCACGGAAATATATTAAACAATACACAGTCTTCCATTTATCTCTAACCTTCATACAAGTCTGCAAACACAATGTCCATATTTGAAGCCATCATTCTGTATCTTGCTGTAAAGAAAATGAAGAAGAATTGTGCAAAATATTGTAGTAAAGCTCCAGTAGTGCAGTATCAGAACGGAACAAGCTACACTTTTCTATCCGTCTGGTATTTGGTGACCATTAATAAGGAAAGGGGAAATATAGCTTTTTTTTTGTTTCACCATACACCGTTAGCAAGTTTAAACGTTTCTTGAACCGTTTTCATGCAATCATCACTCGTTCTATACCACAAGAAGAAAATTTATGCATTGGAAACGATAAAATCCGTGTTCTCACTTCTCTATATTATTAATAACATACCTTACGTTGACGGTGCTCCGAAGACAAGAAACTGAGACAAAATCTGCAGATTTTCTTGCAAAAAAATGACAGGGTGAAGACACGGTGGAACACAGCGTAATAATGAGGATTGAATAAGCGTGTTTATAGTTTAAAACACTTAATCAATTAACTCTGCGTAGGAATATATAATCTTGAAGCAAATGTCGGTGAAGGGTGGGAGGCACTCCACGTGTGTTTCCATCCTACATTTTTCATGGAAAAAAAAGGGGTTTTGTTAATAACATGGTACGGTTATCAAGTTATTATCATATAGGAAATATGTAGGTGGTATCACACCCTTTTAAGGTCTTAATGAGGCCGGGAGATGGTGAGAAGAACATACTTTATATTTATGAGAAAAACATACTATGTATTTATGAGAAAAACATACTATGTATTTATGAGAAAAACATACTATGTATTTATGAGGAAAACATATATACTATGTATTTATGAGGAAAACATATATACTATGTATTTATGGAACATTGCGACTAAAGAGAATAAAAATTTAAGCATGATAAGTATTTTTAACACAAAGTACGACACTTGCTTTACCCTGACCTTAACCATCTTCTACTCTGTCAGAGAAACTCAAGTACCTTGGATGCGTTCCAATATAATCAAGAAGCTGCGTGGTGGCGTCTTCAAATAACTTGAAATAACACGAAATTTGTTATAATTGCCTAAAATATACACAAAAACACTCTCGACATTTTGGGACTCCGTCAGGAGGCTTAAGAGCTAAGGCTCTTTTCCACTTCAACCGTACCGTAGTGTCACGTAGCGTATCGCATTCTTTCCTGGACACTCAGATAAAACTAATGGCTTTGAAACAAAGAAACACGCAACGGTTCACTACGATACGGTTGGTCAAGGTCTACGGTTGATACCAAGGTCTTCACATGAAACAATTTTGTCGGATCCAACTTCGTCTGATAGATGTTTTATAGTCTGCTGACTTGCAATGTACGTGGACAGCAAGTCCACTAAAACCAATGCAGTATTGCTTTATCAATAACAGACTACATACGTCAGTAGTAAATTGGATTTAGCATGACTCTAATGCTGCTGACGAAGGCCAGGGCCGTAGCTAGACCGCTTAATTGGGGGGGGGGTATATTCATATATTCAAGTTTATATACCATAGAAACAATAGCGTACAAAAGAAATCAGTGGGGCATAAGACGAATATATGAATATACACTCCCCCAATCAAGCTTCTAGCTACGGCCCTGACGAAGGCCCTGAGATTGATTTAGCTTCAGGTGAAAAGCATAATCATAGAAATAGAACAACATCTTAGGAAGTCAAATACAATCGGCAAGTGAGGGAAACCAGCACTTCACATCATATTTTAGTGACAAGCTTTCGAAACGATCTTTCATATTCAGAAGAAGTGCCACAGGCCATAAGACAAACTTCGTTAAATAATTTATTTCGCACTAAGAGGTTTATTTCCCAAAACATATGAAACTATCGTTCGAAACTTGCAGTGAAAGTTTCCGTGATATTTTGCAGTTTGAAGTGACACTTCACGTGGGACAAATAAACAGCAAGTTTGTATGATGAAGAATGCTCAGTTTCCGCTATTTTTGTCCGTCTGATGTTGAGCAATATGTCCTTCAAGTGTTTTTTCTTCAGGAACTGCTTCGGATTCCTTGCTCCTCTTGTGAAATAGGATGAGAAACATGAGCAGTGGCAAATGAAGAAGACTGAAACGAAATAATTCCCTGGCTGATTTATTATCTGAACGTTTCTGAAACTTTGACGCCAGCCAGATTAACCATAGATTCACGGGAAGGGAGTCGAGCGCCAGCCACCATGTCGTGACATCACAAACAGGTAACAACGTAGAAAATACTACTAAGGAAACGCAATGACGCAAAGCCACTTTCCGACAGAGGTCTGGATTGAGAACCGACATCATTCGGTAACCAGCTGAGAAAGATACACAAGAGTTTCAAGAGAGAGTTTTGAAAACGGGAAAAGATTCACAAATTCTGATCAAACCTCTCGAATAATCCGCCCGTAGATTCCAACTGAGAGCGTTAAAATGTGGAAACTGCCATGAGTACAAAATTCCGCCAAGAATCAAAGCGCCTGGATCTAATGTTCCTGTACACGCAGTCCATCCCATGAGTGGAGGAAGTGCCCCAACCACCGAGCCTACCCATGTATTCGCGATACTGAGGCGTTTCAATGGAGTATACACAGTTGTATAGAGAATTAACGTAGAGGCACCTGGATAGAGAAGAATAGTTAGAGAGAAGTTAGTAAAGAGGAATTAGAGATGGAGAGTAGTCAGAAAGGAGAACGTAACTAGAGAGAAGAGAGTAATAAGAGAGGGGAGAGTTTCTAGAGAGAACTGGGTAATTAGAGAGGGAAGAGTGATTAGAGAGGGGAATTGGATTAAAGAGGGGAGAGTGATTAGAGATGGGAGAATCATTAGAGAGTGGAGAGTGATTGGAGAGGGGAAAGTGATTAGAGAGAAGAAAGTACGAGTGAGGTGTGAGCAATTAGAATACGGCAATTAGAAAGAAGAATAGAGAGAATACTGGCAAAGAGAGAGCAATTAGAGAGGAGTAATTTAAGAGGACTGAAGAAAGAAATTATGAAATATTCTTATGACAAACCTAACAAAGCAGTCAATCCGTTCACTTGAGTGAGCAACATTGTCAAACCTGATGCTCCAGCAAGTATTCCAAATGTTAATGCATGCGATGAACTGAAATAGATTATTATAAAATATTATAAACATCTGTTGAGATATAATTTATTATAAATTATTACAATCTTAACTTACCTCATAAGACCGCGAACTAAAACTCGATTTTTTGTACGAGACATTTGCGAATCAAATGGAACTTCCAACCACTACAAAAAATAAGAAGAATTCTCAGACATATTATGAAAAACAATATTTTTTGCCTTTTTCTGTCTGTGACAGATAATCACCTGATTAATGGTATTAGCCGAGCAAGAACATAGCATTGTCCCTATTGATACCAGAGCGCATGTCGTTGCTGAGAACTCTCCAGGTGCAAGACTATAACCAGCCATGGTTGTCAGTACCACCAAACCTAGACCAGTGATTAAAATGATGGTGTGTATGACTGTGAGGTAAATTCATATTGTTGTGGTGCTACTGTGAGTGACCAGCCAGGCAAGCCGTTGAAAAACTAGCTTGATGTCCACCATGGTCATTATTTAGGTTGCATGGTTGGTAACTCATGGTTGGTAGCACCATCACAGTACTTCAGCAAGAATTATATATAATGGTCAAACATGATTGAAAGTTTGACCCATAGCAGTTTTCTGAGAATTCTAACCTGTTAAACGTATCTTTGATAATCTTAGATAATATTGGAGTTTCTCATTCCAGGACAGCTGAGATGGAACATCACTCTTATCTTGAACAATATCACTTTGTTCAACACTTGTATTAAGACCAATATTTAAACTTGAACTTGGTTTGGTGAATGTTTCCGTTGAGCTGATTGCTTCTTTAGTGCATTGAACAAGATAACGACATTGTAATTGATGCTGAAATATAAAAAATGTAAGATATGAATAATGGTCTTTCTATAAAATACCGCCAGGGGCACCGGTGAGAAGCAAGCATGGGAAAGCCGGAAAACCGGGTGATCGTTTTTGAAGTGTTTTGCAGTGTCTGGAGTTCATTTACATATTTCTCTGCAGCTGTGTAGATACATTTCAATATTTTAAAAAATAAAAACAGCTCACAAATCATCACAGGACCACAAATCCCACCTACCCAGCCCAAGGTATGTTTTGTGAGATCGGTCTGTCACACAGTTCACTTCTTAGGACGAGCACGTAAAACTATTCAACTGCTGGATAAAAAAATATACTTACATTAACAATGCATGGCCTAATCTTCCAACCTTGAGTGGAGTAATTACTTAAAACTCCACCTCCAATACCATACTTTCCCGTCTGAGGACGGTAACAGGAACACGTTTTTGTATTCTTGGAAAACGGTGTTTTTAAGCACTTCCATGGCACATAACTTCGTAGGAATGCCAAACGGCATTGTGTCTTTAACATAACGTTGTCGTCTTAGCGTTCATTCTTTTGAATTGTGAGAAAATAACACAAAATTGATGGTTTTCAAACTTAATTTCTTGTCAATTTCGTAACTATTTCGAAAGGACGGCCATTTGTGCCCGCAATAAGCATGCGGAAGTAGCAGAAACTTTATTTAGGAAGGAATAAAATGTGTTTTGTTGCAAATATTGCATCTGAAGGTTGAAAGGTTGAAAGATAACTCTCTGGAATTAAATATTGCAATGGGTAATAAAAGGAAAATGAAGGAACGAAGGGAAGAAAAATCCCTGGCAAATAAAGAAGCTTACACAAGAATGAACTTTTTGTATCAGGTAAAGAATTAATTGTGACAAAATCTACAGTAAGAGATTGACCAATCATAGCACAGCATAACTGTATAATTGTATATTCGTTTAGGCTTCCCAAACAGTTTTAATGGAGAATCCACAAAATGTAGAGCTTTCAAGATTTTATATCTTCACTATGAAAAATATTGGACAAAAATTGCTTTGTAAGATGTAGGTTCACGCACAGCTAACTTTACATTCTGGACTTCAGATGTTTTTTAAAAAATGACAATCACTTCATTTCTTGAATAGAGACCCATCCATTAAGAGAACAGTCTGCAAATATTGTCACTCAGTTCTTATTCCTGGTGTAACATCGACGGTCAGAGTTAGAGGTATTAAAATGCAACACTAAACAGCAATGTGCCTTATTTATGTTGTTATTTACCTATGGTGTATTCTATTTTAAACTTAGGGAAAAGAGAAAAACATGTGGTTGTAACATGCTTGGACTGCGGGACGTTAAAACGATTCAATACTCGTAAGAATTATCAACTGTGGTGTGAGCAACAAGAGAATGAAAACACACAGGAAGCAAAATAAAAATAGAAACTTTGTTGAAAAAAATCACCTCATTCTTTGGACAATATGCTCCCTAAATGAAGTTGTCAGTCCTTAAATATATAATTATATACTATTTACTTTATTTATTACCCTTCAAAATAGTTACCACATTATAAAAAATAAATGCCAAAATTATATTGTATTAGTTCAAAACCAAGTCTGCCATCTTAACTTCAGCATTTCAACTCTTTTATATAACAAAGTTTGATTGCAATGCTTCATAAGACAAACTAGTTTTTTACACACATGATTATTTTCATTCTTAATTTATCTCTTCACTTCTTCCACCCTGGTTCCATTTCATGTTGTTTTCTTCGTGAAGCTCAGAGCGGAAGAGAATATTCAGAATCTTGACTTGCCTGGTGATGGACCATCATTCAAAAACTCATGTCCAAGACCATTTTTACAATTTCCACATTTTATCTTATACGCATTATAACCTTCTTTGTGTTTAACAACACTATTGCTGTGAATGGTGTCTGAAAATGCAGGCCAAGGACTTGAATGAGAATATTTCTTCTCACTGCTGAATAATTCATGTCCACATTTTGAACATACATAAATACCTGAAAATTAGAAAAAACACAGCATGAACGGCAATACAGTGATATTACTTACTTATATTACTTTCTTATATTCTCAAGTTATTTAATAACTAAACTTTGATATACAATATCCATATTATTGAACGAAAGTTATACCAACCATCAGCAAAATGATTTTTATATTTCTCTCCCCCTGACCAGCCACAGAAACTCATTATTTCCTTAAATCAAAAGCTTCAAATATATTGACGATCCTTCGTATGTCCTCTCAGAATAAAACCATTTGTCTTGGGCAAAATGAACGACTTTTAATGATACTTTATCAAGAAAATGTCATTTCCGACCACAAAAAAAACTTTGTTATTATTTTACGCAAGAATATGGTTAAACGTCATGTAATACAAAATTATACATAGCTTACAGTTGCTTACAGTAGAGTATGGTGACAGCAGGGCTGGTGACAGATATGGTAACCAGATGGTAAAGGGTATACTAGAACCACATTACAACAAGATCCGCTGTAGTCAGTCGCGACTCTGAACTACCTCTGAAAACAATTTGGTTTTTAAACCAAATACACAAAAATTTCCTATTTTACTCCGGACAAAGTGATATATTTCTGGCAATATAACGAAGTGAACTGTTTGCCATATTATTGTACCTGATAAAACAAGAAAACTAGTTTAATAACCGGCTGGCTTACGCATGCTTTAAATTAAAATGATTTCAAAACAAAGATAATTCATAAATATTTCATTAATACAGTAACATTAAGCACACACGCCTGAATAAATGCTCGAAAACTATGATCCGACATATCATATGTGTACGTAACGACAACACTGTAAAAGCATCTTATAAGATAATATAAACCGAGGTTCATGGACAACACGATGGGATGGAAATCTTGCACTTGGCATGACACGGAATTCAAACGACTGGTTAGCTCTACCTCCAAGTTATATCTCACAAATCTTATCGTTATTTGTGTTGTTAACATTCTGCTAACCATTTCAAATATTTGTTTAAATACAATCACAATTTTAGCCTATTTTAAATCAAAAGAATTGAAACAGAGAAAGTCCTATTTTCTAATAGCATTGCTGTCCTTTAATGACCTGACAATAGGAGTGTTGGGAACTCCTAGCGTTGTTGCATTGGCGGTGAAAACTTTAGTAAAAGATGATGAATGTACTGTCGATATTCTATTCGAGCTCACTGCCGGGAGTTTATCGGCTTTTTCCTTCTCAACATTATTTGTGCTGAACTTAGAGCGCTATTTGTGCATCGCTCATCCATTTTTTCATCGTAATCACATGACGAAACCTAAGCTGTTTGGAATGGTGAGCCTTCTATGGGCATCAGCATTATTACTTATCTTCTCAAGGTTATTCATAGACACTGTGATGAGATACACAAGAACCATTGTCATCATCATTATGGTTATTCTATCAGTGTCTATGTATATCTCAATATACCGAAATTCACGCAAGACGACACAGCTCTATCGTTCACAAAGGCATTTGAGAGCAAGCAGCACCCAAGATCTCAAACTGGCAAAATCTTGTGGAATCGTCGTGACCTGCACGATCATCTGTTTCACTCCATACGCTATGACAAGCTTCTTCAAACCCAAGGCTGACGATCTAGTCTTCGCAATGGCATCAGTTTGGGCGACCACCTTTGCCATGGCCGCGTCTTCCATCAATTCAATCATTTTCTTCTGGAGAAATAGAATCTTAAGGCATCGAGCAAAAAGAGTTCTGAAGTGCAGGGCTTAGCAATGACTAGGGTTTAACGAAAGAAAATAATTAAGTGGTCTTATAAACATACACTGCAATATACCAAATCTTGCCAGAGTCGAAACATTGCTTCTTGAATAAAGCTTCACTGAATTCGCGAGTCGCTTAATTCTTGGGAATGGTTTTGAAATAAAATAATTGAATAGCTGGTGAGAAAACGACAAGATGCATGCATGATTTAACACTAAAAGCAAGCAAAGAATTTTTTATGTTTGCAAAACGGAAACCTATATTTTTTCTTCATTTCTAACGTTATTTAATCAATGTCAAAAGTTACATTAATAATTAAGAACAAGCTTCAGAACTCGTATTGATTATCAGCTGCTTTGAGGGAAAAACGCTTTCCGATTATTATATCATAATTATTCTCTCTTGAATACCGGGAAATCAGTTATTAAAAGCACCCGGATTAATAAGTAGTGACGTCAAATGACGTAATTGCTTATGTTGTTTTTTTCCTTTTCCTTTTGGGATATTGCTGTTACTTTATTTACTTCAACCACGCTTCAACTTAATAACAAGTCTGATGATGCCTTTATGACGTAAGTCGCTTGCATGCTTTTCAGATATCATTAACGTACATCCGCCGGGCATATCAATGTGTAAAATTTTAGCAAAACTATCCCCGGCAAATACCCGGTTTGTAAGCGTGGTTTGAGACAACTGTTCCTGATTAAGGAGGCGTTTAATTCTGTGCAACTCTAGTCCATTTATAGCCGAGTCATTATAAACTAAACTAAACATAGCAAATTTTGATCATAAATACTGTCAAAGGCTGAGTATTTTCACTGAACTGCGACTTAACTTCAGAGCCTTCTTCAAACCTGATTTGGAAATTCTTCGTTTACAAAACTGCGTCTTTCAATCGCATCTCTGCAGATGTTTCCCCAATTTCATTCGTTATCTTCGGATTCTTAAGACAAGCAAGAAATAGTTTTAATTAAATAATTCCCGTTATAAAAGGTTTCAACATTTCCTAATAATATACATACTTGCAAATCTGATTTCTCAAATCGTTTCAGAGCATTTTCAGCCCAAAGCAATAATGGTACTCCATCCACTGGCATTTGTAGCCTCATTGGTTTGGTGTTGAGCAGACGAAGAACTCGAGACAGATCACGTATTAAAGCTCTAGGTTGCAAAAAACCATCTTCAATATACTCAGGAACTATGAAGAAACATCATGCACACTAAGTTATCACTACACTTACTTGTATTGTACGCCTTGATTTGTAGTCTTATCTTCCAACATATTCAATTTTTTCTTCACTTCATTAATCATCTTTAAAAACACTGGTGCATCTTCTCGCAAACTTTGAACTAATTTCTTAAAATCTTCGTCAGTCCAGGTGTTGTCAGCTGCTAGGAAAAAAGAGAACGTGTTCAAATACACACCTGGTTGGATGAACAAGTTTCAGTTTCGTAAACACAATAGAATCAAATGCTTGTTATTTTCTTTGCGCACAGCATCGGTTATCGAATCCCTCGAAAGCTTTCTAGAGTTTCTTAACTATATGGAAGGGCTTCTCTATACTAGTCAAGTATGGCTCATCTTTCCCGCAACAGCGTTACAAAAGAAAACCTGATCTAAATCAACTATCCAACACTTAACAAAAAGAGTAGACAACAAACCTGGCCGGTTATGTGAAAGTTGATCGTACTAAAAAAGAATAGAGTCGTGATTCAATAATTATCTTTGGGTTCACAAGGGTCTTTGCTAAAAACGTTGAAACTCCTCACAGGCAAGAGCTCGTACAAAGTTACAAACGCACCTCTCCCAAAATTTGTCTTATACTTGGCTTGTGTTTAAGGCTTGTCATTTGAAGACGTTCCTCTCCCTCATCATCCGCGTTGAATGCAACTGGAATAAGATTAAATCAGTTTATATTTCCTGCGAACAGTTCTGACTGGACAGACTATAGACAGTAGGTTAAACTATGACATAATCTTTAAACGAAACTTACAAAAGACATTTGACTTTCTTGCGATAAAGAAGGACAAAAAGACAAAGTGACAGAAGCAACAGAATAATGAGAGTTGAGAGTACTACAACAAGGATTGTGTACAGAGATTTTGAGCTTGCTTCGTCCCCTGAAACAAATTGTGAATAAATGAATGGTGAATTAATGATTCAGCATCAATTACCAAAATTAATTATATAATCAAAAGTTTCGATTATTTACAAATAGATATCGATTGTAGATTATCAGATTGATTTGATACGAACCTTTAATAACACACGTTCCGTTCTTACTGCGACTAAAACCACTCTTACACTCACAAGAACCTGTCGTTGCACAGATTTCGTTGTTGCTGCTGCATTCATTCGTAATGGAACATGCTGGAAGAGTAAAAAGTTTCATTTGATCAAACAACGTACAGTCAGAAAACGAATCCACATTAAAAACAAGCGTTTATGTCCCCGTCAACGTTATAAATACATCTGCATGTTGCTTTAGAAAGGAAAAATATCTAGTGATTAGTCAATGTAGTGACTATATCACTGTACAAATATAATCAAACTCACCAGCAGTGAAGGTATACAATCCAGTAAAAATACATAGACCAGACAAAATGAACACAAGAGAACTAACCATTACGAACCAAAAGCTAGTCTTTAAAACACATTTTAAAACTAGACACAGATAAGATAACACACTCGCGTATATCTTGGTTCAGACTTTGGATTCTATATTTGTACTTAAGAGACTATAAATATGGCTAATAGAAAATTATTATAGTTTTTGAATAAGTATTAACGAGATCAGCGTGGTATTAACATTAAACACAATGCTATCGCTCAGGGGGGTGCCACTCAAACGGAATCCAACTGTTGTGAATATGAGCCTGCAACGGTTTATAGTCAGTGGTGATGAGCAGTGGAGAGGTAAATTTTCTGATGTATTCGTGCATGACGTTAACCATTCATGTCTGAAACGTCATCACTAAAATCCATCAAACAAGATCCTCTTATATTTGTTCACTTTCAGCTAAAAAGCTTTCTCGAACTATACCATAAGTTATATTCGCCTCACCAAATCTCAAACGCTGAGGTTTTCGTTTTATTTGATCGGATTATCATCGTAATGTCAAGCACCATTTATTTCATTTTCCAACTGCAAAGTACGATGTCCTGTCAAGCGAGTCTGATCTAGTGTTAAACGAGGTACTAGACCTCACAATAACAACTTTCACACTCATTTCAAAGCCTGCAATGAGCAGACGTTGTCTCATTCTTCTTCTTTTTCTTTCCATTTTGGGTCTTTTTATGAATCTCTTCTTTGACGCTGTCCTGTAGTTGAGTAAAGAAACCGGAGGATGATGTCAGAGAAGAGTCTCGTTTCTTCTCGTCGACAATCGTGCTTGATTTGTCCTTCTTCAGAGACTCCAGAGCTTTCGCCTTGCCGTATTTATTCCCAAGACCTAGAAAGATGCATACGAAAGTCTTTGAAAAAGATGATAAGTAAATATTGTTCATTATTTCCTTATTACCAGATAAGAGTCATCTTTTATCTCAAAGCGACCAAGTGAAAAGGGTAATAGAACCTAATCTATGCAAAGAATGAGTTTTTACCTGGATTAGTTTTCTCAATAACTTTTTGAAGTTTTGCTTTTTCTTTCGCTGCAAAGCGTTGTTTCCGCTTTTTCCCCCGCCGTTCACGATTTCGATCCTGCTTCGTCATCTCTCCCTGAGATTTCACTTCAGTTTTCTGTTTATCAAAGATTTCCTCAGGAGCCAGCAAAGCAGTTTCACTCACGTTCACTGGCGTACATTCTTCGATACTTATTGATGGCACGTTTGAGACGATATTCACTTCAGATTTGAGCTGAATTAAGATGAAACATCAAATATCAAAACACATCTCAATTTAAACACAAAAATCGTAAGCATACTAACCGGTTTAGGAGTAAAATGGAAGTTAGTTAAGGCATCCAATTTTGAAAAGAGAGACTTCATTAATTTCTCAATTTCTTGATGTTCTTCATTCTCTTGTTCTACTTCAGGATTCTCAAAAATCAAATAAACACATGATTGAAATTTTAAAAACGAAAGCCTAGATCTTTTCTCATCAGTGGGAGTGAACTGGCATAAAATGCATTATTACACCTTCATGAACTACCTGTTGTTGAAGATATTCTTTTTCATAGATTTCACTGAGACTCATTTTACTTTTTTCTTGATTAAGAGGCTGAGGTTTTTTATATTCATAAGGTTCTTTCACTGGCTTTTGTTTCCTCTCAACATCATCCCAAGCCTAAGATAACAGATGTACAGTAATGCTCCTTTCATCAAATGTTTGAGATGTTAAATACAGAATACATTAAATTGTACTGGAGGAAATCCAGAGATCCTGGAGAGATCAGGAGATCCGGGAAAGATTAAGAGATCCTGGAGAGACTAAGAGATCCTGGAGAGAATAAGAGATCCTGGAGAGATTAAGAGATCCTGGAGAGATTAAGAGATTCTGGAGAGATTAAGAGATCCTGGAGAGATTAAGAGATCCTAAAGAGATTAAGAGATCCTGGAGAGATCAAGAGATGCTGGAAAGATCAAGAGATCCCAGTGAATTATAAAACAGTAAACACTACTTACACCATCTTTAATTCTCTGTATAATAATTTCTTCAAGCGTTTTACTTGTCTCCTCAGTGATTACAGGAGCTACAAATAAAAGGAAAATATTATTTATCTCTTGCATCTACTGGTGTTAGAGACAGAAAGAAGCAATCTTACCACCAGCAGTTGTATGATCAAACTGCAAGACTTCCTCTAAAAGGCTGTTTGAGGGTCGAGCAGAAGCTGATATCTCTCCTGTGAGTTGCCACGACTTTGCAGCAACATTGCTATCCTCTAATGCTGTAATTTGTTTCTTCACCTTTTGGGAAAAACATGAATAATTTCTAGTCATCTAGAGGCTGTCATGATTGGGCTGACTCACAACATACAAGCAGTGAAATATCTTACCCTTTCTTGTTGTTTTTCCAATGTTGATTTGGTACCAATATCATCATCAGGTAGAACTAAAGCACTGGAAATTTCTTCTGTCTCTTCATAGTCACTACTATCCTTATCTTGAAAATCATCATCCACACTTTCATCACTCTTCTGATCATTACCTATCTTTTCTTCAGTCAGATCATCAGGAATGTCAAAATAATCGGAATACATCACACTTTGAGAAACATTTCTAGACAAAAAAGAAAACATTACATTCTGTTTTAGACAAGGGACATCTGAAAGTTGCATAAGTTTAATATACCATGTACTTACTTTTCAACAAAATTTGATGTGCCATCCCCTTTATTTAAATCCGTGAAATAATCAATATTTTCATCATCATCACTCCCATCTGAAGAAGCGTCATCTCTGGCATGCTTGCTTTCAAGAAACCTCTCCATTTCGGCCAACTTAAAGAACTGATCATCCACAATGGAACCTTTGAAACTGGTTTTCTTGGGTTTCGATCTTTTTTCAATACTTTTTGCCATCTCTTCATCAGTATTTTCCTCCAGCAGGCTATCAGCATGATTATTTCCACAAGAACTTGACTCAGCCAAATCAGCAGGAATTTCATTTTTATCCAACGTGATCACGTCACTTTCCTTACTCCTACTACATTCTTCATCATTTAAATGCAAATAAATCTCCTTCTTAAGAAGACGTTTGAATCCAGTCTTTATTTCTTGTATCAAAGATTTATTCTGAAGTTGAATTTGTTGCCATATCACCTCATCGTCGAAGTTCATTGGATCCAGTTGTAAACTTTCGAAAGGACAAGTCTCTATCTTTCGTCCACAAATCACCTCGTCTATCTTGTTGTAATTGAAGAGTTCCCGTAAAACAGACAATATCACAGCACTATGTTTCTTATCATAAGTTATAAAACGCTCGAGATTATCTTCAATATTCGTCAGGGACTTACCAAGGGAGGTTAGTTCATCACTGGAAGCTAAATCTTGGATTTTCACGTTGGCGGCCATATTGGATTCCGGAAGGTCCAGTGAACCACTGAGCTATATAATATATCCTGGATAGCTCACTGCAGTGAACTGAACTGAATAGAAGTGGATGCATTTTTTGCCCCCCCCCTTGCAACTGTGAGACAGAGAACAGTTGCCCCTGAATTTTAACACAATAAGGCAGTGTTCTGGGATTTTAACCCAGAGGCCAAACATAAAAGCACTTTTTAAAGAAAAAATATAATTCACTATAGATCTTTGTTTGGCCCCAGACATGGACACTGTTTTTTGCCAAACATGAAATGGAGGGAAACCGGAGTTCCCGGAGAAAAACCCTCGTGACCACAACATGAAATCCGGATCTCAAGTTAACTGGTCTGGTCCGACATTTTGGTATTTTTAGTTGGAAATTCCGCAATAATTAATTGGGGCAGGTTTGCCAGTTATTTTTGTTCTTGTATTTTACCAATTTTTGGAGATAATCTGGCAACCATGTGGACTATTTTTAACGGCATTACATTTATACATTATCAATGTTTTTCATCTGACCAATCTTTAAAAATTGCCACACAATTTTTAAGGGTTCGTCAAATGATCCTGGTGGTCTGAAACATGCGCTTAGATTTATTTAAAACAAACATGCCTAAGGCAATGGCATAAAAAATTTACCTATAGGTAATGGGGATTTTGGTAATATGACCCATCGTTATACTGAAACCTGGCCAAAGTGAAATTGCATTCATCTATTCAAACTGGTTTTGCAAGTCCTTGGCTTATTCATATATCATCATCAAATCCATCGTTATAAAACCTAAAGTGATATTCCTATTAATTAATCTATTGAGATCAGTTGCAATAGCGTCGTTCAGGTCTATATTACTACATAGAGATCAGATGCGGAAATAACAGCGTGTCATCCAGTGATCATATTGAGATCAGGGCCAAAAAAAATCGAGCGCGTATAGCCCACTCACTAGACACTAGTCAAATATAGCTGGTATTTAGAGATCAGTTGCAAAAAAGACTCAACATAATTAAACTTGGAAATCAAAATACTACATAGAGATCAGAACAATTGTAGGCGAAGTCAAATTACTCTCTATTACGTCGCTTATTTTTCAAGCAATATTTCGTATACAAGTAATCAAAAAAACACTAAAGACAACTCCTTTCAAAAACGAGAACAAATTTCTTGAAGTCCAGAGTCCCAATTTAGAAGAATTACGGTGATATTTCAACATAATAATATATAATAATAATTAATAATAGATAATTACTCCATGCACAAATTTACTCTAATTAACGTTCATCCTTAATTAATAAACTTTATTCTATTCAAGATTCGAATTTATTCTAACCATCAAAATATCAACCTATGCTATTTTCATGCTTTCCCACAAGCTTCGAAAATAAAAATTGATAAATAGAAATTTATTAAAGTCACAGCTTTCAAGGTACACTCCTATAGATTCGAAGTAAAAAAATCCTTATAATAGAACATAGCTAAACTAAACTATTACTATTCACTATCCTATCAAAACTAAACTAATCTGCTGTCTATACCGGCCGGTAATATTTAACTAAACTTGCTAACTATTTGGCAAATATTTTTACTTGATAAATAAAAAAAAAAATAAAAAATAATTTATAATATACTACATTTATAACTTATTCAACTGGTTTTGCAAGCCCTTAAGGCCAATTTCCCTAATTAGAGCAAAGTAATTTATGTTGTGGCATGCATAAACAAAATATTTTTCAGCTAATTTTTGATCTTATACATGTATGAATACGACCTATAATCATGCTATATATGCAAATATTTTTACCATCACATGCACCTACCCTAATTAGAGCAATGTATTTTATGTTGTTGCATGCATAAACAAAATATTTTTACACCTATTTCTTGATCTTATACATGGAAGAATACGGTCGTCTATAATCATGCTATTACTCAGGCAATCATTTTTAACGTCACATGCACTTAGAAAGTCAATTACCCTAATTTAAGAGCAATGTATTTCATGTTAAATTGTGGCATGCACAGCCGAAATATTTCACAGCTAATTTTGGATCTGATACCTGTTAAAATATATCAACAACCTATAATTGATCATGCTATTATTTTGGCAACTATATTTTATTTGCACATGCACTCACAGAAATCAATGTTATGGCATGCATTACCTCAATATTTTGTTGCAAATTTTTGATGCCAATGCCTTAGGTGCAAACAAACTCATACAATCATATATGCATACCTGGTTCTTGTTCACAGTTACCTTTGTACGAATTCCATTCTTCAAGTTGAGTTCATGCTTCATCATTTTTAGACACACTACTGGCTACTTAATTTAGTAATATCATGCATTTCACCAATTGCATTACACATTAAGTGATAAAACAGGAACATGCATTTTCAAAGAATCAAACATGCTGTATACATTAATTTGCTCTGCATGCAATCCGAAATTTTGACTTATTATCATTGTCAAAGTATGAAATCAGAATTTCACTTAATGTCTAACACATTCAGTGCAGACCACCAGGAAAACAAGCATGCACAGACACCCAGGATAGAATGCAAGAAAACTGAATAATACTACCCATCAAACCTGTCTTCAGTCCATCATCATCTGTCATCGGGCAGTCCATCGGCATCTGTCATCGGGTGGTCCATCATCATCTTTCATCGGGTGGTCCATCGTCATCTGTCATCGGGTGGTCCATCATCATCTGTCATCGGGTGGTCCATCATCATCTGCATCAAGTGGTCCATCATCATCTGAAATGATACATTTCTTAACATCTGAAATGATATGAAACAAAATCACCTATGGTATGTTACCTGCATGAGCTCCACCAACATCATCTTCACCACGACGCTCATTGTACATGCGAATACAAATTTTCATGCATTTTCTAAATTACATGCAAATTTGGAGAGATTTATTAAACACATGCATTCATTCGAAAATGGGATAGACATTTAACACTCGACCATTATATCTTAAGATCATTTCAACATGCATTTGTTTTTTGTGCTCCAAGAGCAATATTTTGCCTATGCCAGACTAGGTCAGTCGAGCATACAGAAAGTATAAATGACCCGGGCCCCTGATCACTTATACTTACTCATTACTCCTGACAAAACATGCAAGATATAACCAAGGGTTGGGATCTGAACTGCATGCAATCCAAAAATTGAAAATTAAAAACAGAGGAGCCTCAAATGTCTGGGAAATTGGGAATATCATAAAATGTGTGGTTTGATTTGATTTCATAAAATGTGTGGTTTGAATTTAAATTTAGATTTTGTATTTGCATGCAAAATGGTAACATTTCTCCATCACAACTAAAATGAATAAACGAAAGAGCGATAAGTATAAGCACAATATCTACATGCCTATCAATCCATACTTCTGATGGTAGTATATGTTTATACAGGATTATTTAGGGTGTTCTAATAAATACTCCCAGTTTCAAGTAGGAATACTACAATAGTGTTTCTATGTTGGTTTATTGTATTCGTTTCAAATCAGAAAATAGATTTGGTATACCACTCAAATTACAGGACATATATAATATAATATACCAGGACATTTCAATGGTACGTTGTGGAAACACAGTAAAAATCATCGAGGCATGTCCAGGCATGAAGAGTGATGTCAGGTTAGATCTGAAATCCGGTGATGTGATTGATTTGCGAAAAAATTTGTCGCGAAAAAGTAGAATGGTTTCCTACTTTTTATCTGTTCACGGGAATTAATTTGCCTCGTGGAAAACACTTAAATTATTGAAATACAGACTTCACTACGATTTGCAAATACTGACAATGAACTTGAAAAATACACACTTGTTGATTATTAACTTTTAGCCTTGTTAAATAAGCCCCTTTTTGATTAGGCGCATGTCATTTGGGGCTTTTAAACGCCTATTTTTCACCTTTTTAACACACCAAGTAAATTTTAGTTAAATATTCTTAATCTAATTTGCCTTTACTGAACACCGGCATGCAAATGGCACAAAGCACATGCGAACTCACATTTTTACGGGATCAAAGAGCACAATGATTACGAATGCACAAAATCAAACACATTTATTCATCAGTATAAACATAATATATCAATTCCTTATTGCAGTGGTATCAGTTGAAAACATCTATTATCTATCGTATAGCTATAAATGCCTCGAGCTCAAAGACCTCGATTTGAAAAAAGACGGCGAGCGGCGAGATCTATAAACAGTAAGAAGCCCCGCATGGCGGCCCCAATACACCAAAAAATACTTGATTCTTCTGCAAATTGATACGAATACTTAGGCAGAACTACTTTATCTTTGCTTACAATATAAGAAAGCGTGAAAAACTAAGCAATTATATGCTCTAAAAGTTAAACGGCGGCGACTAAAAGTCTACACTGACAGTGTAAAAGAACACCGGCGTCGCAAAAACACGCACATGGAAATTCGCTAGAAACGCTGAAAATTTCAGTGGACCTAATTCTTCTTCAAATTGATACGAATACTGAGGCAGAACTACTTTATCTTTACTTACAATATAAGAAAGCTTGAAAAACTAAAGAATATGCTCTAAAAGTTAAACGGTGGCGACTACAAGTCTACAACAGTTGAAAAAGGAACACCAGCGTCGAAAAAACACGCACATATCAAATATCATGAAAATTCGCTAGAAACGCTGAAAATTTTGACCTTATTCTTCTGTAAATTGATACGAATACTCAGGCAGAACTACTTTATCTTTGCTTACAATATAGAAAGCTTGAAAAACTAAACAATATGTTCTAAAAATTAAACGGCGGCGACTACAACACTCAACAGTTTAACTGAAAAAGAACACCGGCGTCGCAAACACGCACATGAAAATTCACTAGAAACGCTGAAAATTTTGACCTTATTCTTCTGTAAATTGATACGAATACTACAGCAGAACTACTCTACTTTGCTTACAATATAACAAAGCTTCAAAAACTAAACATGCTCTAAAAGTTAAGCGGCGGCGAATACAACAGTTGAAAAGGACACCGGCGTCGCAAACACGCACATGCATGGAAACTCGTTAGAAAAGCTGAAAATTTGGACCTAATTCTTCTGTAAATTGATACGAATACTCAGGCAGAACAACTTTATCTTTGCTTACAATATAAGAAAGCTTGAAAAACTAAACAATATGATCTAAAAATTAAACGGCGGCGACTACAAGTCTACAACAGTTTAAAAAAGAACAACAGCGTCGTATAAAAAATCGCACATAGAAACTAGAAACGCTGAAAATTTGGACGTAATTATTCTGTAAATTGATACGAATACTACAGCAGAACTACTTTATCTTTGCTTACAATATAAGAAAGCTTCAAAAACTAAACAATTTCCTCTAAAAGTTAAGCGGCGGCGACTACGAGTTGGAAAGGACACCGGCGTCGCAAACACGCACGGATGAAAACTCGCTAGAAATGCTGAAAATTTGGACCTAATTCTTCTGCAAATTAGTAGAAATCGCTACGAATACTATGCTGAAGCTATTCTAGCTTTGCTTACAACAAAGGAAATTTAAAAAATCAAAACAATATGCCTCTAAACGGTGGCGCCTACCAATCATAGTGTGAAGACACGTGCAAGCGAAACGCACTTAAATACGTTGAAAAATTGAACTTAATTTTCAGCACTTAATAATTGACACTTATTGACTTAATCATTTAACTAATTGTTACGAATACTAAAGGCAGAACCATTCTAGCTTATTCTAGCTTGGCTAATAAACGTTTTAGTTCAATAACTAACAAAAAAAACACAATTAATACATACTTTACAATTCACGACCATTGAATCCAGCTTTCGTCGACGGATTTCGGCCTAAAAAGAAAACAAAAAAGTGTTTAATAACTATGCAAATATTTAAAACATTGTTTGAATAACATCTTCGATCTTTTTATGCAGAGTATTCAGAGATATACACACCTTGCAACGAGGAGCGAATTTCCTTGCCACCGCATCGTCCACATGGTCTTGAAAACTGACTGTCAATCACTCAATCTGTCAAAAACTGTCTCATGTCTGAAACTGCGACTTGTGATTGGCCAATTTGGTCACACGTCATTCTTTGCCCACAATGCAATAGACCACTGACCTGTATTTATTATGGACCAGTGAATTCAATTCTTTGCTGGACTATAAAATGTTTTTGAGTGGAATAATCTCATATCTTTATTTCACGGTTTTATAGTTTTTGCAACCTAAAACGGAAAAAATATGAGCAAATGCTTGATAAATCTCGCAAAAATAGGTGCTCAGACGGATCTGAAATAGCCTCACTGCCCCTATGACTGGCCCCTACCACTGAGCTATATAAAAATTCCTGGAGGACTTGCTCACTGGCCAAATCATCCCCAGTCCTCAAGCCTCAGATTTAAGAAAGTGACACGTGATATGACCTCTACACACGGTTGCTTGTGATTGGTCAAGCCGCAGTTCCTAGTTTCAGGCCTGTGTAAGCGCGCGTGCGACCAGAAAGGGTGAAACACGCAACACGCGTGGTGTAAACAATAGAAAATTATGGCCAAAAGTATTGTTTATATGCCTTGGCCTCCGAATTTTTGCTGAATTTACTCGATATACTGGACTTTCTTCTCTATTTTTCGCATGCCATGGCAATGTTGGGTTGTACCTTTATTTCATAGCCACAAAAGATCGATTATTTTCATAAAAAATCCTTCGTAAACAGCAAGACTTTGATGATTTGTTGAAAAGCGAAATCCATGACAACACGATCTAATACAGCGTTTACAAACGACCAAATGAAAGATGCGCTAAGATTAGCCAAAGGCCTGTTTGAGTCCAAAGGTATGATGCATTTTAGGCTATTTCTTAAGGCATGACATAAATAAACACATCCATCATCTAGGGAAGAAATTATCTTGTAAGAGTAAATCTGAGGATCTGAGTTCATGCTCAGTTAATTGTGGCTTAATCTACCAATTCTCTATGTAGTGCTGGTTAAGCGACCTCCCACCACTGCTCAGAGGGCAACCTACAACACCAGTCGGCCTCAAAGCGTACCAAAGTCATCATCACATCGGACCAAGAAACTAAAGCCGAACAAGTCTGAAAACCAGCTGGTCAATCCAGTTTGGCGACCTTTCAGTCAGGATAAATCATTAAGTCAGGCTCGAAAAGAGATCATTTATGGCAAGAGACCCTTGATAAGGAATGTTGACAAAGAAGATCATGGAATCAATGACACAAAACCCAGGCAGGAAAATCTAGGATTAATACTGGACCCCTTTAGGAAGAACAGTTTGAGATAGCTAGACAGTTTTTTTTACCAATAGGTTGCCAAGAGGTATTGATTCAATGGAACCCTGGATGACTGACGAGAATCTTGAATCATGGTATGCAATATGGTTGCAAGGTATATCTAATAGGGCAAGATATTACCAGCTTTCTTGTGAATATTTCAATATAGGACTGGTATTCCTGCAAATGAAAACTGTTTTGTAATGTTACCAAGTGGATTTGCAGCTGATGTCAATTGTCTGCCACCTCCACAGAGCCCTACAGACACCTTGTTGGAAAGATCAGTTCAGGAAATTAAGGTGATGCAGTATTATTTGCAGTAGACTACCTAGTTATGGTTTGATGGCAGAAATTGACACTGGGAAAATCTTTTTAGGCATATGTTCCACCAAAAATTCTCCACAATTATAACTACCTGGTAAGTACCAAAATATATTGGTTTGGCCATTAGTTCCACAAACCTTAACACAGTGCTATCATTCTTGAAGGAAAACGAAGATCAATCCTTTCAGTGTCAACATGGCCAGAAGCAACAGGGTAAACTTGAGTCCAGGTATAGAACAACAAAGAAGTTCATCTGATTAATAAGCTCCCCAAGATCAACTTCATTGACACAGATTGTGGCTTGCTGTCTTTTAGAGAAAACATGAAAAGATTAGAAACAAGTGAGATTATAATGCAAGAAATTGAAGAGCTTGAGCAACTGCTCCAAGGTAATGCAATGTGTGAAAATAATGTAGGAGGAATAGCCATTTATGTATTTCTATGTTTCAGGGTATGGTAATCCAAACAGTTCTTCCATTGTCAACCTTTATCAACATGAAATTACAACCCTTAAAGAGATGGTAGTCACAACATTACGGGACTATACCTTGTATGTGATATTATCCTCTTATACTGTGCCATTCTTTAATATTCCTTGATCAGTTCTTGAATGATTGCCACCAGACTATGACCTCAAATGCAATTCCTTTTTTTCTCTAGCAATGTAAACATACCAGAGGAAATGGCACCTGAAATTTTTCATGTCAGTAATTTTCATGGACATCTTAGCTCTTGTATGATGGCTTCATATCTAACCTGCAATGTCTCACACCTAGGGTGACTTATTTGAATTTCTGGCACATCATGACAAAACAATTGCTGCAATAAAGGAAAAGCGGGATGCATGTGTAAGGGAATTAGCAAGACTGGAAAAAGAACTTGTCCAAAGTAAATAAACCAAAGCCAGGTATACAACTCTTTTTCCAATCAACATAACTAAACAACACACACTTGAGTACATAGTGATTTGAGTTAAGTTATTCCACAATATCAAATGTAATTGGAATGAAGGTTTTAATGTGAGAAAGGTCAAATGCAAGATTGCATAATTCTCTTCAATAACACAATTATAAATAGTTGTTTATATACATATTAAAAGACATCATTGCAGCACTGATTATTTCCAACATACTTCAGACTATTTAAGCTTTCGTCTTTTACGTGGTTTCTTTAACTTGGCATAACCCTTGCCATACCATCCTGCACCTAAATGTTCCCTATTGTCCCACTCTACTGCATCTTGTTCCAAATGTTTCACATCTTGTATCGAACAAGGGTTTGTCTCACCATTTAAATGCTCATTTGCCCTGCTTTCTAGAAGAACCTCAAAATTCTTTGTTGTTTTCGTGCAAAGTTCATGTTCCCGTAATGGTGTGCTCAGGCGAAATAATGGGTCATGTTTCCTGAAAAAGCAATTGTCCCATTTCAGAAAAGCCTCAATGGCAAAACATTTGGCAAGAAAGAGGGTCTTGAGCTGATAATGGAGAAAGACAGAGCAGTTAATGGAGCCCAATTGACATTATTCACCTTTTATAACCTGGAATATCCAGGCCAAGCTTTGCCATGACCAATTGCATGATATCATCACAGCGACCATTAATTTTCAAAGTTGCAGATGTATCTTTTGGAGTCCACTAGTGGAAAAATAAAATTTTGAAATTTGAACAACTAGTATATGAGGAAATGCACTAAATAAACCCTATTTGTACTTTGATTAGGGGTAAACTGTTTGCTACATTTGCTACCATGAAATTATGAACCAATAGTAATTTTTGTACCTGTAAATTAACAATGTATAGCTGTGGTCTTCTTGCCTTTGTTCTTGTCATCCCCCAGAGAGAATTATACCTCTTTAAAACCTTAAATTATAATATTTTTATGTATATATCGAAGTCTATTAAAGAAATGATAGAATGTAAAGTGTGAATAAAGATATTTTATCTAATTCTTATACAGATTGGGTTAATTTATTTACTTTGAGACTTGAACCAAGACAAACAATACAATCAGTTGCTTTTCCTGCATCAATGGCACCCTGCCAATTCAGTGGCCACTCCAAACATCCTTTCTCACCAAAATGTACAATTGTGTCTCGTAGTTTTCCTCCACAAATATGACACATTCGACCAGTGTTGTGGCGACGTAATGCTGTTTTTTCTGTCACATCGAACGTTCGAACATAAGCTCTCTCTGGTTCACACTCGGTACACACCTGGAGAAATAAATTATTGTTAGTTATATTTACAAAACAGATTACACAGTTTTTATAAGACATAGATATACTTCAGGTTCTTGGATGAAGAAGAGCCTGATATATCATCCTTGGTGTATTGAGGGCTTCTCAGCATGCAACAATGATCTATATCGAAAGCCTAAACTAACCTCAATATACATATTGCCATGAACTTCAGACAGCGCTTCACTTGGCAAGCCACTACGAAGGTGGAGGCCATCACAGTTCTGTGATACAACATGTTTCACCTTAGAAATAAGAAAATTATATATAGACACTATAGAGTTAAATTTTTCAAGGCACAAGCAATTGACTGGTAGTAAAAATGAAGACATATTCATGAGTCCTCCTGACATACATGTCGTTCCTGATAAAGTTTCAAAATGCTCATGTGCGTTAAGGTTGGCTCTGCATCAGAAAGATTGGTGCAGTTTCTAAATAAAATGGAAAATATAGCAGAACAAAGCATACATTAATAGCTTAATAATATTGATTTTTTTGAAATAAAGGTTTCATAAATTAAAGACAATTTGAGCTAATGGTTGGTACCAGACACTCATAATTTATTAAAAACATGTCTTTATTCTTTGTTGTAAATAAATTCAAGTTTAAATACTTTTAAAATACAGCAATGCTTCCTTACTTTATTGACTCTCCCTTTGAAAGTTTTGTCCAAATTCCATTTGGACCCCTGTAAGAAAATTAAACACAGCTGTAATTTTATAGTTTTAATTAACTAATTGTTTTAATTTTTTCCATTTTAACCTATAGAATTCTTCTATCTTTAATTTATAAATATATTTTTATTTTTAAAGGTGAAATATTCTTACCGATAATCTGGAATAGAAGCTGCCTAAAACGATAAATAATAATAGTGAAATATTAAGAAGCGTACATACTTTTCAATATTCGTGTAGGTTCAATTACTTTCATTTTTTCAAACCAATATATTGGAGAGTATTGAATATCACTTATTTCAACTAGCATTATGAAAAATTAACAGTGATATATTATAAAACAAGACTGTTTTAAACCGGGAATACTTTAAAGAAGTATTTATAAAATGTTTTAAAATATTTATTTTACCGTACTGACACCAGCACCAGTGTAAACAACTACAAAATTCGCTTCCTTGATGGCATTTGCCAGCTGCGTTGCCTTTGCAACAAGTTCTTCTGGAGAATCGCAGACCTTAAGAAGAAAAATATATAGTATTATTAACAAATCCTTTCTCGAAATAATTAGGAAATGCTAAAAATCAACCTCAATTTTACGGGCTTTGGCATTCGCCTGTTTGATCGCTCTTCGTTCAATTTCTTGCACCATTTCAGGCGACTCTCGCAAGATATTCAGCTCTTCTTGGCTGCATTCATCAGTTCCTTTTTGTAAGATTGATTTTATTTGTTTCAACCTTGCCTGAAGCTCGTCATTTACTAGAGAACTTCCACGTTTGACAGTACACTTTCTTGTCAAACCTTCTCGACTGGTCGCCATCTTGTAAACACATCACATCAGTAATTACGCAATCCTAATCGCTGATCCTAATCTGATCGCCTCTCATGCTTAATCCATGGGAAAAGCTGAAACACCATTGGCTGAGAATAGTGTGCTGCTATTAGGTAAGCATACTGCGTTACTATTGGTTAAAAACAGTCTGGTAGGAATACTGTGATGTTATTGGCTGAAATACTATGTTATGATTGGCTGAGATCAATGTGAGGCTATTTAAGTGAGAGTAGAGAATTTGTAACTCAAGAGAGCGTTCCTTTTGATCGGATTTTGAATTATTTTTTTTAATTCTAAATTTGTTGTATTTAAATATTTAATTTTCCATTTATGGGGCAAATTTTGACGCTGATTGTTAGGAGAAATTATTTAATCGACTTCATGCGCTAAATTCAAAAGAGTTCTGTTCTCCACAATCTTTTCTCGCGGTTTTCCTGTCTGCAAACCAAGCTCTTGTTCGTGTTTATCGATACGTTCCCATTGTTTAAACGATACTGGTTTTATCCCTGAAATACACAAGAGTTAGAGCTGAATGGTTAGGCAACTGGTATTTTCTTAGCACAACTATTTAAACACAACGAATCCAAAATACCTCGGGATTCCAAGAGGTGATTTACAGCAAAGAAACCTTTATCTTTCTCAGTGATTCTTGGAAACTTCCCTGTGATATTCAGAGAAGTATTGAAACAACTACATCGTTGGGAACAATTCAATTACATGATTTCCAAGACTTGATTCAGTCACAAAAGCTCGCTACCTTGTTTCAAATCGCTGACGACAATCTTAGCTGTTGCTCTGCCTTCGTTTAATGTACTCAGGATAACTCCGGTGGGGCCAGTCCTTACCCAACCACAGCAGTAAACACCTGAACAAAATAATAGCAAGAAGCTTTGTTTAGTTGAATTGATTGAATTACGATGGGTTTATAAACCAACGTTATCTTTTACAAACACTGTTAAATGGCTAATCCAAATAAGACAATGTCATCGTTCCAACATGTTTAACAATACCTCATTTTCATGAAGAATTGAACGGAGTGAAAGGCTTGCAATAGCTCTGTTAAAAGCGACCATTCACGAACCTGGTAATCCAGAGACATGACCATCATTCGATTCACAAGATACCACTCCACCATCAAATGGTATTTCGTCGTCAATAACGACACTTCGGTAACCAATACTTCGGAATATCTGTAGAAAAAAATGAAGAATTGAGATGGATTCAAGCTGTGCTTCTCATGATCCCATTGAGTTTAAAAACAGTCGCTTACCAGACCACAGTTCAAAGTTTCTATCTTTCCACTGCCATTGGCTTTCACTGTTCCATCTGGCATCTATGAAGAACATAAAAAATCTCAAACGTCGTGATCTAGTGTAGGTAGTATTCTACAATAAGCTGTCATGGTTTGTGTCTGAACTACCTGAGAAAGATATCTCAAACGTGGTGGTCTAGTGTAGGTAGTATTCTACAATAAGCTATCGTGGTTTGTGTCTGAACTGAACGTAAAAATCCCGTTGTCTACTTTAGGAATGCAATACCTCTTTTAAATTATTTATTTCGAATTTAATCCCCGAAACTCTTCCAGAATCACTACTCATAATCTCAACAGGACTTCGACGGAACAGCAATTTAAACTCTTTTGTAGTCTCCGACATTGTATCGTCAGGTTGAGAGGTATTTCTGATACGAAAACAAAATAAAATCCTTTTAGGAAAATCGTGCAAAGTTATCTGATCTAAAAACAACATCTCAAACTTACAATGCTGTGTTGCAGAGAAGCTCAAACAACCTCTTTTTCTGGCGCGGGATTTCTATCGGAAAAGACGTAAAACTTGGTTTTCTAATAGTCATTTGAGAGTAAGATCGAAAAACTGGGTAAAAAGAAAACTCTCAAACGATTTACCTGAAATCATTTCTCGTATGGGTTGAAAATCTTCCGGAGAGAAAACGGAGCGACATCCAGGTAATTTTGTCATTTCACGCAGTTCTTTGATTGTGAAAGATATCTGAAAGACGGACATTTTCCAGTGAATGGAAAGTGATCATTTCCTTTAGTGAAGCGAAAATAAAACAGTCGATTGTAAAATGATATTACGACGAACCTGTAAAGGACCTCTTCTGCCAACGACGTAAACTCGCTTCACTTTGCTTTTTCGGATCAGGTCCAAAGCGTGCTCACATATATCCGTTTTCTACAGCAAAAATAGATCGAACTGCTGTAGATGAATTTGGTTTGGGAACAACAGTAAAAAATATTAGTTAAATTTGGCAAAGTGGGTTTGAATGCAGGCCAGTCATACCAATCATAGATCTATAATTCTTTCTACTGAGTGTCTAACTTTGAAGACTACTGAATTACCTCCAACATTTCAACTGGTTTTAATAAAATCCTTGCAACATCTAAAGCCACATTTCCTTGACCAATTATGACAGCAGTCTCAGAACTAAGATCTGGCTTTAACTTGAGAAAACAAAGAAATGATAAGTGCCCTTAATTATTTCTCTTTGAGAATAGAAAAATTGAGGAAATCTAATGAAGACTTACGTCACTACTTGCTGGTAAACCATTATACCATTCCACAAAATGTCTAGCTGAATAAACACCATGATGTTCCTATCAGAGAAGAAAATATGTTTGGAACAACTAGCAAATTGAAGAAATCTGGAAAAGCTGTTTGTATACCTCGCCTGGAACTTGAAGTTTTCTGTCGTTTTCCGCACCATAGCACTTAAAACAAATATAAGCTATAGTTTCAAAGATAAATTCTAGCAGCGAGGGGCATTGGATGTCCAAAATTAAAC